ATATATACACACATACACACACATAAATATATAGCTGTATCTTAATATCAAGATATCTTAGGACCTTCTCTTGTTTTCTGTCTGAATGTCACTCACCTCAAAAGTCTTCCCTGGTTTTCATCCTGATCTTTATTATCATACAATTCGGAGATTTCTCCTAACATGGAGGACCAAGGGTTATTCTTCATGAATTGCACCATTATATGTTCACTAGATAACTTTTCTCCATCATTAAGGTTTTGAGAGACTGACCCAGTAATTCAAGTTGAGGTTCATAATATGAAACAAAAAGGAAAGTAATTATTAGGGAAAAAAGCTGTTATGAACAAAGAAAGACTTAGCCACTTTGGCAATAGTTAAAAAGCAATTTCCTAGGAAATACTTCCATAGGGATTGAGAGTGACAGTGATATAAATTGGTGTAATTAGGAGAGCTAAGTAGAAAGACACATGTACACAGTATATATGTAACATTAAAAGAGGAAAAGGGTCTTCATGATCATAGGTGTGAGAGGATTGTTAAAGTCAGAAAAGTAAGCTCAGGTATCTGTGAAGTAGTGTCCTCATCCCCAAAGAGACTTTTTCTAGCTGACTGATTTGAATGCAGTTCCCTCCATGTAGGGCTTGTCCTTCTAAAAATTACTGCTTTCCTGGTGCTTCCTGACACAGTGCCCCAGGATGAGTCCTATCTACACTGTCTTCAGATCTATCCCTTGCTTCTCTGGGAAGACAAATGGGTACAGCTGATAAGGCGCTCAGGGAGAAATGCATATCTTGAGGAAAGGCAGTACAGAGCAATGAATACTTCCCTGATATGGAGCCAATATTTTGCTCTTCAGAGTCAATGAAGATGGACAGTTGTGAGTTCATCTGCAGAAAAATAATCTCTACAAGATCCTAAAACACTAATCTCTCAGTGCCCTAACATGACACTTGAAGACAATCATAACTCACAATATTTGAAGAGCTTAAGGGCCTTCAATCACAAGAGAAATGAAAACTCATTTTAAAACACAGGACTTTTATGGTCATAGGAAAGCCAGGGTATATGAACTCCACAGACTAAGGGACCATACCTGTTTTATTTAACAATTTATTCCCATTCCTCAACCAAACACTTGAGCAAACTTGATGAGTAAAATATTTTTGTCCATTAAAATAATAATAATAATGGGTAAAAAGGATGCCATTCTTACCTACTGAGGCCAGGTTTCTGAAGGTTTCCATCATCACGTCTCTGTAGAGTTTCCTCTGAGCAAGATCCAGCAGAGCCCACTCCTCCTGGGTAAAGACCACGGCCACGTCCTCAACGACCACTGAGTCCTAAAACATCCCACACATTGTAGATCAGCAAGTACCATTTACTCCAATGTGTACAAGAATGAAGGGTCAAGCTGATAGTATTAGGGAACTGAGAATTCATAGGGATTTGACACAAGGTTCTGTGTCTTACCAAGGTTTTATCTAAGGTATAGCCATCAGCCTCATTCACACCTTCACTAACTACATTCACTTTCTTACTGGTTGCATCTTGTCTCACAGACTTCTACCACACCAAAATATTCTTTGTATAGTTTGACTGTGTTCAACTGTAATCTTACTCCTCTCTCTTTTGGGTCTAGAAAAGTTAAAAAATACAGTAGAAATTAGAGAAATGTTGTAATTCAGACCGTCACTTCCTAGAACAATGAACAAAACATAAACCACAGGGTAAGGCAGAGTGAGGTATTAACTGGACAACATTGCTGAATGGCAGTTTTTGCTTTTGCCCTTCACAAGCCATGGAAGGACTAAGGGCCTGCACAAACAAACTAGCAACCCAAGGCCCTGAGTTGGTGCTATTTTTGTCTTCAAGTCTAGGAGATGAGGAGGTGACAGGTCAACCTGCTAAAAAAAAGAATATTGTGGTAGTTAAGTTTGTGTGTCAACTTGGTTAGACCTGGTTGAGTGACTGGATAGCTGGATGTAGTTATTTCTCATGGTAAGACTGGAATTAACTCCATGGTGGAATCTATTGGAGTAGCTGAGTAGCTGCTTTAGGGATGTGGTCTGCTTCCCATACATAAGAAGCAGCTTTGGGAATGGTCTCTTGCTTTTTGGCACACTTGAATCCTGCATGTAGCCAAGTTGTTCTTCAGTAGCCTGCCATGTCCTGCTGATCTTTAGGACTTTTTCTGGACTTGAATTAGTGGCCTGCCGCATTGTTTGGTGGTATCAGGACTGTGCCTTTTCACTTGTCAACCTTGGGCTTGTTGGCCGCAGCAGCCAGCAGCTGCCTGAGTTAAGAAAAGTCTCTAGCTTCAGTGGGCTGGAAGCAAGAGGCAGAGCTGAAGACCAAGGTTAGGGGCTTTCATCTAGTTCCCAAAGCCTGGCACTTTGAACTTGAACATCTGGCCTCTAAAATTGTAAGAATCAACTCCTATTTGTTAAAGCCATCCCATTTGTGGCACTAGGTAACCAGAACAAATATTCTTTTGGAGAATTATGACTTTTTACATGTCAGTCATCTATTTTTCAAAAAGTCAGTTTTTTGGTATCCTTTCTATTTCTTTCATAGCGACAGGCAAATGTAATAAAAGTTAAAAAGATTTCAGGTGAGAGATAGGAAATGAGAATCCAGATCTCCCATAATTCTCAAATTTCAAGACCTGATGCAACTATACACCAATTATTGGTAACTGCTCCCTTCAACAAATACAAACTCACACACCCTCACACAAACACAGTCTAATGTTATAAGATGATAAAGAGCGCTATCTCTGCAGAAAGAATAGCATGGCTTTTTATTTGGAGTCTGAGGAGTAGGGGTTACAATTCTTATTTTGTAAAGACTGCACAACATGACAAACATAATCCATGTGACTAAGTTATATTATGTAAACATTGTTGAATTGGCAAATGTTTTGTTATATATAATTTTTTTTCACATAAAATTAATTTTGTAAGTATGCTGAAGTGCAGAGAGTTTACCTGTTAAATTGACTGTGAAGCCCAGGCAGCAGAGATTCACACACCAGCTCACTACAGACTCCATTCAAAATTCTCTCACACTTTCAGCCCATGGAAGGCAGACAACCATAACTACTTGAACCCTGACCAATGGAATCCCTAGTCTGTAGGCATGCCCTTTGTGAAATAGCACCAATACACTGGTTTCAACATGCAGGGAGGAGAGAAAAGGCTGCTGAACTCCACTTTTGGTACTAAAACACAGCAGCTTTAGAATGAGAAGATGCTTCTTGTCAGGGAAGGGGTGAAGTGAGCTGTGTCATCGCTAATGATGGTGTCACAACAAACTCTGAGCTACAACCAAAACCCAAAAGTCTCCTCCACTGCAGTGGACCAGGTTACATATTTCAAAGTCATTAAAAACCCTAACATTCATTATAAAATATAGTAATGCTATAATGTTCTATGTACTGAGCAATTATGATTTGTAAAAGGTTTTCCAAAAAATTTTCAACACACTAGCTCATGCATGGTGCTCTGGTGGCATAGTGCCTAAGGCATTTGATTGCTAACCAGAAGGCTGGCAGTTCAAATCCACCAGCCACTCTATGGAAGGAAGATAGGCAATCTACTTCCGTAAAGATTTACTGCCTAGGAAACCCAATGGGGGTCGCTATGAGTCAGAATCAACTCGATGGCAGTGAGTTCAAGCTCATGTGTATCTCATGACTGTTCTAAGCAGATATTATTTCAAACACCACATAGCTGAGTAAAGTTAGAGACAGTGAACTGAGAAAAGTTAGAGACAGAGTTAGTCACATGCTCAGTGCTGCTCATATGGAACGTTGCTGACTCAGGGTCAGAAAGCAGGTCAATTTATCTTTGAAGCTAAGTTCCTGACAATTACATTTCTGTTCATATGCATACAGTTTTGTTGTTATTCTGATATTCTCCAATAACACCATGGATGATCTAGAGCCCTGCTGGGTACTAGAGTTACTTCTGCTGGCAAAGTCCTTTGTCTTAGATAAGATGTGTTCCCTTCAAACCCTTAAGTGTGGTTGTCTTCACTTATTAAAATTGATTTAGGGTTTAATGACACAGAGACTACTTTATGCTGGCAAAGCAGATATAGCAGCAAACAAAACAGAAATATCCAGATGAATGAACACAGATCATAAGATTTTTGCGTGTGGACAGTCAAAAAAAAAAATATATATATATATATATATACATATATATAAAATGTCAACTGTCAATATGTTCTATGGAAGATGCAGCACAATAATGGGAAAAGCAGCAAGTAAGACAAGTATATCGATCTTTAGTACGTCAGCTCAAGGAGTATGCCGAGTAGTTTTTTGGTTTTGCTAGTTTCATTTTATGAAACATCAGCTAGTGAAACATGGCTTGGTAAGGGAAAAAAAGATCACATTTTCAATTGTAAAAGCTTGGAAGCAGACTATGATGATGTTGCAAACAATCACACACATTTCACATGCTCAATGACTTCAAAAATTCCTGA